GCTCGTGTGCTCCCCCCCCCCCCGCCACCGCCCTGGCTTCTTTCTCTCTCTCAGAAATAAAATCTTTTAAAAAAAGTAAAAAGACATTTCAGGATCCCTGGTGTCTGGGATCAAGAAAATATGTGGTTGCTGGGGGTGGGGTGAGGCCTGATTATTTGGGGGTTCACATCCTTCCTGGGTTGGGGCTCAGGCAAGAATGGGTCAGGCTCTGCCCTCTGGAAGGCGTTGTTAAACACATACGGCCACAGAGAAATACTCCAGGAGACTTCAGATGAGGGCCATGTAGGCAGGATCCTGAGTGATGAGTGCAAGTCTGCTGGGTTGGGAAGGAAGGGAAGGACGTTCTGAGGACAGAAGCAGAGGCGGGCAGAATCACAGTTTGTTGGGTAAGGCAGAAAGATGAAAACTGGCCAGAGACAGTGGTCTTGGGGGGGATCACAACCAGAGAGTAGCCTGGAGGTCCACAGGGCCTTCTCCTGCCCAGGCTAGGGCTGGGGTAAGAGGAGGGGTTTACTTTTTATTCTGGAAGCCATGGGAAACCACTAACCATCTCAGGGAGGGCTCCATGTGACCAAGTTTGTGGTTGCAAGCATCCAGCCACAGCAGGGAAGTGGGTTGGAGGGCTCCCACCTGCTAGTGTGGGAGAGGGTGGGAGGGGTGGGGGGACAAGAGACAGCCCTCAGGAGAGGAGATACACAGAGGGTTCTTGAATGATACAGAGGACCCCCACCAGTCAGCGCTTCTGACCCCACTAGGGTTCTTATAGCCCCCCCAGTCAACTCTGCTGGTGCCCAACCTGCAAGAGCTCTGGCGAAGGAGGCATCCCTTTGCCCATGTCCGCCCATCTCCTCAGTTCTTCTTGAGGGGGAGCAGGGGCGCTCCCAGCGGAGCGTCAAGATGAGCTCTAGGTGAAGGCCCACCCACTCAGAGAAGATACTCCAATAACCCACGCCCCTGTCCCAGCAGCCTGGGCCCCTCTTCCCTCTCCATCCCTCCCCCTACCTTTTGGGAGCCGAGCGAGTACCGCGGGGGCGAGCGGGGCGGGGCCAGCGAGGAGTTATAAGCGGGCCCCGCGACGCTGCGCCCCCGACACTCCGGCTCCCCGACGCCGCAGTCCCGCAGCGCGCCCAGCCCCAGCTGAGTTAGCTCCTGGCCTGCCCCGCCGGGCGGCCGTCAACCTGAGCACCCTGGCGCGGGGCACGGGCGTGCGGGGCCCTGCGGGCCGGCCGGTGCTCGCATTGTTGCTGCTCCTGGCGCTCCTGGCGCTGCCCGCTGGCGCCTGGTACAAGCACGTGGCGAGTCCCCGCTACCACACAGTGGGCCGCGCCGCGGGCTTGCTCATGGGGCTGCGCAGCTCGCCCTACAAGTGGCGCCGAGCGCTGCGCCCCGCTGCCGGGTCCCTTGCCTGGGACACCCAAGGCCTGGGCGCGTCCCCCCAGGGGCTATCTGCCAAAGGCACCCTCTCTCCGGCGCCCGTCCCCCGCGGTGCTCTCCTGCTCTCCTCGGGGGTTCGGGAACTGTTGGAGATGGGACGCAGGTACTCCCGCGCAGGGCTCGAACTGCGGGCGCGAACTGCGCCGCCCGAGCCCGAACTGGAGCCGCGGCTGGGCGCCCATTCCTGGACCTCCGTGAAGCAGGACAGGTACGTGGGGAGAAAAAGGGGGCCGGGACAGCAGCGGGTGGAGGATGTCTGGAGAGATCTGGGCCCGGAGCGCACGCCCGCGTGCCCACGAGACACCCTAGGACCTTCCTATGTCTCACTTCTTGCCCAGAAAGGCTTTCCAGGAGCTTCCTACCCTTCCAGGCTTGGCGGGGGGGGGGGGGGGGTAAGGGTTAGTGGAGAGCTGACAGCCTTCTCCCCAAGGTCCTGCTCTGTTCTTTCTAGAGCCTTCAGAGTGTATCCTGTTCAGCCATGGCCTGCGCAGTGAACCACCTTCGCGGGCCCCCACCTCTCCCCAGGGCCATCCTGAACGCAGCCCTTGCTGGTGACGCCCCCTTGTCTGACCCAGGAGTCTACTCCTCCTCCTGGGCGAACAGCTCTGGCCAGGTCAGGTGATCTGGTCAATAAAAGCTGCCTGGTTCATGCGTTCCCGTGTGTGACCCTTTTCTTCCACGCAGTATACTTGGCATCTAGCTTTGGGGTGCAAACAGCTGCATTCACACCCTGCCAATTACAGGAGCCCTCTCCCTGGCCAGGGGATGCCCCCTCCTAACCATCTCAATCTGTAAGTCCTTGTGGAGGGGGAGAGGGGACAGAGGCAGAGACACTGCTGGGGCCTAGGTCCCCTTCCTTCTCTGCCAGTACTGCCTGTCCTGTTCCGGGGTGGGGTCATCAGACCAGGTCCCAGGGTCCCACAGGAGAGGAGAGGTCTCATGGGAGGTAGGCACAAGTCAGACCTTGGGTCCCACTGCCATCCACCAGAGAGAGGAAAACAACTCATACCCTACTAGCTGAGCCAGAGCTCCCACCCCAGCCTCCCAGGGGCCCCAGAGTGCCCCCTCACTATGCTTCCTGACCAGGCTGGGGAGAATGTCTTCCTTAAGGGACCTTAAGACCAGCAGCCTACCCAGCCTTTCCCATGTCTCCCAGGATTCATTTCAAACCTGATCTCCTTCACCCCCCTCCTTCCCCTCAGCCAATGGCTTCTGGAGAGGAAGTGAGAACCCCTGGCCCCCTACTTCAAGGTCCTGCTCCTCTTCTAGGGAGGAAGGGCCCCTTGCCTCCTCAGAGACCCTTCGACCTCTAATCCCCTCTGCATCTTCAGTTATTGGCTCCAACCCCCACGTAAATATGCTCTGCTGTCATGAATAAGGACCCCTGGGCCCCCTCATAGCTCCTGCTCACAAGTGTGTGGGCCCCTCCACCCTTCTGCCTCCTCATCAACCCTCTTCGGTGTGGGCTCTGACTCCCACAACTGTCCTGGGCCTCGATGCGACTAGTCACTGTGCCCTGATGCTGTCTGCCCTTGGAGCCCTCCCTTGGCCATGTGGCAAGGCCTTCCACTACGGCACCCAGCCATGACCAGAGGAGGGGTGGTCCCATGCCCGTCGAGCTGGCTAGCTTTGAGATACTCACATGGAACCAGCCCCCACATTCTCCTTGGCCTCTGGAAGCCCCCATCTCTCCTTACTGGCAATTCCTGCTCATCTCCTGGGTGCACCCTTCTCCCTATGTTGTCACCTAATGTGGGTGCTCTTTTTTCTCCACCCTCCCAATTCTTACTGACCCCTGACTATATTGACTCTGTTTCCAAATCTGCACTGAGGGAAGGGGTGGCCACAGACTCCTCAGGTCAGCCCATTCTCTGCACTCCAAGTCCATTCCTCCTCCTGCTTCTTGCCAAACTCGGCCTTTCAAAGCATGGGCGTCCTGATGACCTAACTTCCAAAGCACAACACCTCACTCTCCACCACCGATGGCACAAAAATCCACGTTCCGGGGTTGGGCCCCAGGGCTGCTCTGTCCCCCAGTCTCATTGCTCCTTCCCCTCCCCCACACAGACTGCAGGACCCGTGGGCAGATTCCAGAACGCCCCATGGTCCACCCAGAAGAAGGACTCCAGGGCCTCAGGCCATGTTAAATGCCCTCCTCAGGGCTGCACCAGCCCTAGACCCGCCCTTACCCAGACATATAAATCTCTGTTTCCAGGGGTCTAATGTTTCTCCAGTGCTCACCAGCGCCGGGTGCCAAGTGGTCTGCATATGTTTGGTCACAAGTGCTGGACACTTGGCGAGGCGCTGGATTTCACGTTGCCTGGAGGTACCCCAGTCCAGGGAGATTGGTGCCAGGTCCAAGGCGAAAGAGCAGTGCTGATTAGGGACTTCGCAGAGGCCCGGTTTCTCTGCCTACCACCTTCATGGCACCCCTGTGCCCCTGCAGTGCAAGTAGCCCCAAGGCGCCGGCCTCACCCGCCATCCCCACCCAGCAGGGCAAGGCTGTACCGCGTCGGAGCCAGAGGGGCGGGGCCTGGGCCAGCCCCTCGGACGAAGCAATCCCACCGCGAGCCAGCAGGCGGCGCTGCGCGGCTGCTCTTCCGGGCTGCAGCCCCAGCCGGCGCCTGCGGCGGTGGGAGGGGCCAGGAGCGGGGCGTGGGCGGGACCAGAGCTGGTGGGCGGGTTCCTGCGCCATCTCCCTGCGGTGGTCCGCGCCGTTCTCCCCTTCTCTCCCTCTCGGCTCCGGGTGTCGTGTTCTCATCTCTTTACGTCGCGCTGGTCCCGCCTGCTCCAGTTTCGGGCTCTGAAGAGAGGCCTGGGGTAGTCTGAGGGAGGAAGCCGTAAGCGAGGCCCGGTCATCCCGTGGGGCCATTAATGCCCATTAGGGAGGCGGCGCCGGCCCGGGAAGCTCCGGGCCACTACCCGGGCGTCCGACTAATGGCTCCACCCCACAGACGGGCCCCCAAACCTTCCCCTGGCGGGTGACCAGGCCTCTACCCACTGCCACGCCCCAGAGTCCCCGCCCAGGCCCAGGCCCCGCCCATCGCTGGGGACATTGCAGCTGGGAGGGTAGGTTCAAAGCTCAGAGGACAGCCCCCTCCCCACCACTGGAGCCCCGGGCCAGCCCCCACCCCAGGTGGACCCTCGGATAGCCCAGGAGAGGGAAGCCCCGAAAGGTCTACTTCCCATCTGTCTCAAGGCCTGTGTAGCAAGGTGGCAGCGAGGGCGTCGGGGGTGGGGGTGGGGATCACCTCCCACCTGGCCTCCCCGCCTGCAGCTGGCCTCGCTGATCACCTCTTCTGGCCCACTCCCCGGCGACCCCAAACAGCTTACAGCCCCTGAGCACCTTTCGGTCCGCTCTTCTGGGTCGTTGCCCATGCTGTTCTCTTGGCCTGTTTCTCTGCCTCCCACTTCTGTCTCAGCCCGAGGCCCGAGGCTGAAGGAAGGGCGCCGGCGAGTCTGCCCAGGAGAGCAGCTGGGTTAGCTTTCCCTGCCTCTCTGTTCGTCGGGGCCCCATACTTACCCTGTTCCCTCTCACTCGTTCCTGCTCCCCCTTTGGAATTTACCTGCACTTCTTCTGAGCTGCCTTTATTCTGTGGCTGTTACCTACCCCCTTTATTACTCTCTGATGTTGCCTTTGTTACTCTGTTATCTTCCTGGTATTTCAGCTCCTTTTTTGCTTTGGAGCCTCCTTTGTTAGGCTGTGATGCAGTGTTCTGGCCCCTGGCTGTGACCACATGCCCGTGGTTACCCCCTCCCTCCAGTAGTGTTCTGTTCCCCACTGTCTTCACTGACTGGTTGAGGCTGATCCTGCGAGTGTCTGTCCTATGGAGGGGGGAGGAGATCTCCAGGCCTCCCGACCCACACCCGGAGGACCAGGGGCTCCTACCTTCTCTACCCCCAGCCTGGGGGTCTACCATCCAGCTACCTCCCTAGACTCTGGTATGGCCCCATGCCACAGCCTGGCAGGTCCTGGCTGGTCCTGGTTGCTATGGGGTGACCCCTAAATCCCATCTGGGGTGGTATATGGTAGACCGCACCCATCCTCACAGCCTCCAGGAGCAGCAGCACCAGGCTGGGTTCAGAGAGGCCGTCACAGGCCAGACAGGCAGCCTCTGGACAGGCAAACAGATCGAGGTGGCCAGCTAGGCAGGAACTATGGCAGCACCAGCCAGGAACTTAGAGGTGGGGGTGGGGAAGCAGCCATGCAGTCTTGGCCTAAGTGGCTTTTAGGGGCAGCAGCTGGGTGTGGACACCCAAGAGGCTGCAGCCGAGGAGGCTAGCCAGAGGAGAGTCCTGTGCTTGGGTGGGGGCTGGGCGCCCAGGCTAAGGGCACTGGAGAGGGGAGAAGGAGCAGCAAGGACGGGGCCTGAGCCAAGCCTGCTTCTGCCCACATGGGGAACTGTCTGGGCTGGCTATGCCTGACCCCCAGGGACCAGGTATGTGCAGGGGGCTGGGCAGGCTGGGGAGGGGCAGGCTGAGGGGGAGCTCAGCTGTCTTCCTGTATCCAAGGCTGAGAAAGGGTTCCATGATAAAATGTAGACTTGGAATCTCACAGCAGTGCCTAAGAGGACCTGGGGAACCTTGCCTGGGTCTCATTCCTCTCTAGAACTCAGTTTCTTGATCTGCAAAATGGCCTGAGCACCCTTGGGTTTTTCCAGATAAAGCGTACTCAGAGGCACAACAGAGCATAACCGATTTTCTCTTGTCATTCTTGTCTTGTTGGGGGAAGGGGCACTCATGCTAGGGATGGCTAGATGCTAGGGGAGAAGGATGGAGGGAAGGGTGGGCTGGGGCAGAGGGGCATCACAGGGGTCAGCTCATGGGAACAGCTTCTGTGAGCACTGATCCCAAGCCAAAGGTCAGAGGCCAAAGTCCTGGATACATTTCATTTCTGCCTGGGATGAGCAGGGGCACAAGTGAGGGGCCCTGGCAAAGAGAGAGGTATGTGTGTGTGTGGGGGGGGGTTGTAATGTTTAATAGACATCCCCAGCACAGATAGGCACAAACGATCTCCTGGGGAGGCCCAGGGAGCCCCTGTCACTGCCCTCCAGAATATAGGGGAGGGCTGCTGCCTTGTTACTTCCAAACTCCTCTTTTTGCCTCCTGGCCCGTCCTGGGATTCTGCTGGGCCAGGGCAGCTCCGGGTGCAGGAGAGATCCAGATACCCGGACAGCCGGGGAGGCGGGGAGTGGGGGTGGGGGGGTGGAGGGTGTGTTCCCGAGGATGGTGGCCAGAGCTGTGTCCCTTGTTCTTACTCTCTGCCCCGGTGTGGGGTTCCTCGGCCTGAGGACCCTTTCTCCGAGGACACCGCCTCGGTGTCACGCATACAGTAGGTGCTCAATAAATGTTCCTGGGCTAGGAAGCAAAGACTCTTGCGCCAGGGAGGCTGCCCAGAGTCGGGGCGAGACAGAGGTGGTCCCTAGGCCCTGCGGCCTCCTCCCCACCCCCCGGAATTGGCGGGGTGCCGAGGCCGGGCCACAGCCAGGGCCAGCCGGGACTCGGGGCGGGGGCGGCCCCATGGAGGAGGCGGGGAAGGGGCGGGCGCGGGGGCGGTGCCACAGCCGGAGCCCGAGCCCGAGCCCGAGCCCGAGGCGACGGGAGCCGAGCGGGAGCAGCCGAGGGCGCCGCCGGGTCCCCAGCGCCGCAGCTGCCGCCCGCGCGCCGCCCCCCGCGCCCCTGCCTGCCCGTGGCAGGCGTGAGCGCCGTGGCCGGCCAGTGGCCGTCCGGTGGGCAGCCGCCGCCATGGCCGCCCCGGAGCCGCTGCGGCCCCGCCTGTGCCGCCTGGTGCGCGGCGAGCAGGGCTACGGCTTCCACCTGCACGGCGAGAAGGGCCGCCGCGGGCAGTTCATCCGGCGCGTGGAGCCCGGCTCCCCAGCCGAGGCGGCCGCGCTGCGCGCCGGGGACCGGCTGGTCGAGGTCAACGGCGTCAACGTGGAGGGCGAGACGCACCACCAGGTGGGTGCCCGCGTCACGCCCGCCGCCCTGCAGGGCCCCCTCCCCGGGGAGCGCGGCCCTAACCCCGCGCTCGCGGGGGGCGCCAACGACCGCCGCTCCGGGCGCTGCGTGCGCCCAGGCCTCGGCGCCCTGCCCCGGGGGCCGGAGGGGGGTCGCACGAGGCCCTGCGTGGGCTCCCGCTATGAGGTGGCGGACGTGGCCACGGAGGCAGCGGCCGCCGGCCTCCTTCCTCGCCTCTCCCCCCTCAGGAAGCTGGCGCCTGCACCGCGGAGGGGGCATCCTGGCAGGGAGGGGCCCGCACTGCGGCTCCTCGCCCTCGGCCCCAGCACTTTAGTCCTGTTCGGGCCTCAGTGTGCAAGGAGGCAGGCGTCAGTCACCTTGGGGGGTCTCCATGCTTTGCGGGCCCGGAGTGCTTGTCTATGAGTGTAAACACGTGCTTGTGTACACAGCTGGGTATATGTGCACACGTCCCTCTGGGGGTCACGCCTGTGTGCCCACATCGGTCCTGGGGGTACCTGAGGGGTGTCCCAGTGAGGGCACACCTGTATGTGCCTGTGTCTGTGTGTGTGCATGTGCACGTGCTGCCCTGTGCGTGTGAATATACAGGTCTGCACCTCTAGGTGTGTGTGTCCAGGCCTGTGGGTCGGCCTGCCTTGCTACGTGTAGTCATCTGTGTGTGTTGGCAGGTCAATGTACTAATGTGTGTCTTGGCTCATGGTGTCTCTGTCCCTCAGAGTCGCTGCTGGTGGCAGCATATGCCTCTCCTTGGAGGCTGCCTGGCCCTGCAGGGGCTGCTGCTGCAGCCCCCTGCCCCCTGCCGCTGGACATGAGGGCCAGAAGCAGGGCAGGGTCTGTTCTCGGCAGGTTCTGCTCCCTGGGGACTCTCTATCTCCTACTGGCTAGGGACTCAGCTGGCCAGAGTCCAGCCTCCCTCCACCCCTTCTGCTCAGGCTTCTCTGTGTCCTCCCCATCACCCGTGAGTCTGTGACCTGTCTTCATGACCAGCCCTGGGGCCTAGAGATTAGTATATTGGTTCCTGGCTGGGCCAGCAGCTGAACTCCAGCTTCTACCCCTGGGCCCCCTGTCTATCCGTCTGTCTGCCTACATTCTGTGTTCCACCCAGCGTGTCCCTGGATAAAGCTGTTTGCTGAAGGAGGGTGGGGTGCGGGCCAGAGGTCTGGGCTTGACAGACCACAGGGAGGGGTACTAGAGTGCCAGCTGGCTTTGGTTTAGCGGTCACTGCCACCCTCGCCCCAAGAGCACCTGCTTCTCCCAGGGCCCCGCATGCTGGTCTCGAAGTTTACACACAGGACCATGCTGGCCCAGGAGGGAGGAGGTGCTCTTCCAGCTCCTTGTTTGACACATCAGGAAACCAATGCTTGAGGATATTGGGCATCTAGTCTGGGTCCCACAGTCAGGAAGCGGCAGGGTGCTGGGGTCCCCCTGTGGCTCTCACCAAGAGAGAGGAGAGGGCAGAGGAGGGCCTGGGGGAAGATGGGCCTGGTTCACACCCTCCTGTCCATTGACAGCTTCTGCTGAGCAGCTGTTGGGGGCCCTCTCTGCCCTCCCCCAAGACTTGGGGTGGGAGTCTTGTCCTTCCTACCCCAATGCCCAGGGGGCACCGACTGCTCCTTTTCCCTGGAAGACACACGCTGACATGCACGCTCCATGGTCCCCCACACACTCTAGATACTTCACAGACACCTGCAAAGACACACGTGGCCCTCATGTCGCACTTGGTCCCACGGGTGGCCTCTGCGTGCCCGGTCTGAACCCTGCTTCCCAGGTTGTGTGTGGGTGTCCCAGCGGGTGACTTGCCACAGGAACCAGGCCTTCCCATCTCTGCAGGTCCAGCAGGGACAGGTGTTCATGGTCTGGAGGCAAATGGAAGGCTCAGAGGCAGGGGTTTAGACATCCATGCTCCACTACTGAGAACAGCAATGGCCACAGACCCTCAGACAGGGACCTAGGGAGACCCCTTGCTCCCTCAACCGCAGACTGAGAGACAGACCCTGAAACAGCTGGATGCACACCTGCACACACATCTGTGCACACACGCTCACACCCTGAAAACCCCAAGCTCAGCCGTGCACCACCTTCCAGACCAATTGCCTCACCCAGCTTCCCGGCCCCTCCTGGACAAGACCTGGGGCCAAGGCCAGGCCCTGCAGTGACCCTGTAGCCCTGTGTCAGGAGTCCTGGGTAAAGAGGGAGGGAGCTGCCGGTGCACTGGGGGTGGGAGGCGGAGCCGGCGGGCCTCTCGGTCCAGCCGCCCACCCCTGGTAGGCCAGCTGCCTGCCCGCGATCCTGGGCCGGCCCCGGGTGGTGCCACTGTCCATGTGCTGCCCAGAGTGCCAACCGCTGACCTGCTCCCCCCAACCTGCCCGGCCCAGGTGGTGCAGAGGATCAAGGCTGTGGAAGGGCAGACTTGGCTGCTGGTGGTGGACAAAGAGACGGACGAGGAGCTCCGCCGGCGGCAGCT